AGAGGAAGAGTGATTAAAATAATACTATAATATTAGTATATACTTATAAGTTATGTAGGGGCTCATTTAAATTATTTTACAATATTGTTCCTTTTCTTTTTATCTAGAAATTAAATCAATCTAATGTATATTTGTTATACATATTTTTAATATTAACAATTTTAATATTATCCAATAAGTCAATAAATAATGATCAATCCAATATCTACATATATATTATGTAATAATTCTATTTAATATAATTTAATTCGATGTCATATCTATTTTTAAAAAATATCAATATTACTTATTGGCAAATCAAATACTACTCTATACGTATTGTCAATAATTTTAATTAAACATTGGATTATATTACTTATTGGCTAATCAAATATTATACTTCACAATACTATACTACTCAATATTTTTCTCTCATTATTTTTCTATTTATCAATCAACCCAATATATGAGCCGTTTAATTTGACAACGACCCAAGTCCATTCTTTACTTCTTTCGTGAAATTTTTTTCAGCAATTATAATTAATAAAAAAAAAGGAAAAATATTCAAATAAATTTAGACCACACACACTTTCAAAATAAACGGACTCATGTATTAAATATATCATTGGATAATTAACAATATTTCTTTAACCAATATAATATCATTACCAATCTCGATATTTTTATATTAATAATATTCCTCATTATTTCTAACAAAAAAATCAAATCAATTATTAACACAATATTATCGCTATTATTATTATTACACTTATATAAGAGAAATAAATGGGAAAAAGTGGACAAATTAATTTACTTCTTATTGTATATTTAAATAACTAATTGGTACGTATGAAGGATGATTTCTATTTGAACTAACGGAGAATGAGAGAGAAAAAATGAGTGAGAAAATAAGACGAGAAGTAAGAAAGAAAGAAAAAGAAATAAAGAGAAAGAGAGAGAGATCATTGATCGAGCAGGTGAATCGAGAAGACGCGACAATTAACAGCCGTTTACCTTGCGCGATAAGATATGTAAACGAGGTGTAAGTGATAGACGATCGGTAATTAGGAGGTATCGCGCCGAGGTACGATGGAGAGGAGATAACACGTATGTTGCATGTACAAGATGGTTGAGAGGTGGTGGATGAGGAGGAGGTGGAGGAGGATGAGGAGGAGGAGGAGGAGGAGGTAAAGGAAGAGAAGAAGGCATCATATACGCGACGAGTACATCACTCACCGGAACTGGTTTCCTCTTTTCGTCTTTCATAAACGCCTCGAGCACTCCTGGTAGCACCATTATAAACGATAACGAGCCCCCCGGGTCCCCCTCGGTCCCCCCAAGGGATCACTAGCAAAGGCACCCGGTTTCTTCGATATCATTTTATTTTTTATTTCTTTTTTTTTCATTCGACAAAAGACGAAAAGTCGAACAGAACAAAAATGGGGAAAAAACTAGATCTTTAATATTATAATTTTTTTTTGGATTCTCTTTTTATACGACCACTGTTATAAATATAATTTATTTAATTAGTGATACGTAAGAATAATTATATATTATAATTAGCGATAATTGCCACTAATAATTATCACAATTCTAATAATAATTATCGCTATACTAATATGATAATTGCTACCAAAATTTATCTTAAAATTTTACCTTATTTGTATACTTCATTTTTCTTAATTCTTTTATTATATATATTCTTATTATTATTATTATTATTAATATCACCACCCCCGCATCCTCTCGTTTCCTTTTCTCATTCTTTAATGGATTACGGGCTAGGCCATTTTTCACTGAGAATGGATTTTCATAAGGTCCCGACATTCTCTCTCTCTCTCTCTCTCTCTTTCTCTTTTTTTCTTAAGGCTCCATGTCTCTCGACTCCGCCAAAATGTTTGTAAATAGATGTAAAGTCTGGGAGGGGCCGAGAGTGCAACCCGCTGCGCGAACAAGGCACCCCATGGTGCACCACAGCCGGTATATCTCTTGGGCCCTTCACCATTCTTTCCTCTCTTTATACCGCGTTCTCTTTCGGGCCCTTTTATACTTTCTCTCTCTCTCTCTTTCTTCTTCTGCTTCTTCTTCTTTTTTTTTTCTTCTTATTCCTCGACTTTCTTCCTCCTCCTTTTCTTCCCTCTTATCGCATTCTCCACCTTCGTCCCACCCCATTCGTATTACGTTCCCACCGTATGTCAAATATTATACTAACTGATTTCGCACGAGCTCACTCTTTTACGTTATTTTCTATAAGATCTTTAAAAATACTACACAGTTGTGTTATCTCATCTAATTCGAAATCTTTTAGTCGTTAGTCAACAAATTTGACGTTTGTACATTTGTAATTAATATAGAAAAAATATATCTCGCATTATATTATTATATTTATATTATATTTTTTTGTTATTATCATAAAATTAAAAAATTGGTTTCCCGCCCCACCCCATACGAACACTGTTTTACGTTATTTTTCAATAAAAAAATTATATCATACGCGAACACGCGTGAAGATAAAAATAAACATGAAAATAATTTACAATCGATTTTTAAATCGCGAAACAACGTTTTATTCATAAATCTCGTTTGGAATCTATTCTCGCAAAATATTCCACTGTTATCTTCCAAACGGAAAAAACAAATAATAAAAATCAAAGAAAAGGCAAAAGAAAACAAACAAAATGTAATAAGTATTATAGAATTAAAACAATATCGATCAATTGCACACGATTAACCTAGTCAAACGATACGCGAAAGAAAAACATTTCAAATTGAATTTGTTATAATCCTTTGCCGAATTTGAATCGCAACGAAGAATTAAAAATAAGGGTTCGAATGAAAAGGGGTGATGGTAAAAAGAGAAAGGAGTAAATCAGATGAAGGAAGAAAGAAAGAAAAGAAAAGAAAAGAAAAGAAAAGAAATAAGGAAGGAAAGAAGGAAGGAAGGAAAAAGGGCAAAAGAGGAAGGGTGGAAGGGAGGAAGGGAGGAAGAAACTGGTATATACAATGTATACCAAAGACCCGTTCGATATCGCGAACGAGATGGGGTTGACAATGTCCACGAATTTGCGGCTCCACGTTGGCAATTAGCTTCTATTGAGTGAGTCCAGGAAGAAAAAATTGTGGAAGGGGATGGGACAGAGGGGGGAGAGGGGCCAGAGGGGGGACCGGTCGCGGCAACCTTTCCACTTTCGAATCCTCCCCGGTGAAAATCCAAGGTGTCTGGTTAAGAAGCAAGCAAAGCAAAGCCCTTCTTACCTATGCCTACGTATGCGTTTCTACATATATGTATATAGGAGGTATTTATGTATGTGTTAGTGCATAAAAATCGCACGCCTATCGGCTGTCGGATGAATTTCGATCAAGCTTAACGTGAAAGAAACCACTCGGTCTGAAAAATACGAATGAAATTTACCGAACGATGGTGTTTCGTTATATATATTTTCTTTCGGATATTTAATGAACTAGAAAAGAACGCGTTTAAAAGTTTCACGTTTATACGCGACAAAAGTGGTGGGATAGATCGTATCCCGTTAGTTTTTTTTTTCTTTTTTCTCAAATATTTCACAGTCTCCATTGACACACGAAGTCAATGGAAAAGTTTCGTGTAGTTGGATATTTTCTAACACCTTCAAATATACGTATTCGTTTTCCTTTTGAGTACATTTATCTGTTGAGGTTTTAACAAGACTCCTCGTATTAGCTAGTTCATTCATCCGAAACCATGATTTTTCTTTTTTACTCTTTTGTAAATAGTTCAGGGGGGAAAAAAGGCTATCGATCTTTCTCTGTTATTGTTATTATTATTATTACCTATTTCATGCGTTTTCATTATTCTCGTTGAGTGAATTCGGTAGTAGTTGTGTATATACAACAAATGATCGAATTTACGAAATAAAAAAGAACAATTTATTTGACAAATCGTTTCGTATTGATTTATAATACCTCCAAGATGGAGATAAAAAAAGGAAAAAAAAAGAAAAGGGAAATTAAATATTATGAAGTACCTTTTATTCCCGAAATATATTCGAGATGAAAGTAGGAGAAGGAGCAGGTAGAGAAAAGTTAAGAGAGAATTTTTCTTCGAGTTTATTTCCTTTAAAACTTACATAGGCAAAAGAATGATGGCATGACCGAGTAATCCTTGACACGACGACCGTATTTATACTCCTGTTTGCCCCTTGATTCGCTACGGAGCTTTGAAGGTCCTTAAAGTCCCTTTGAGAAGATCCCGTTCTGTTTCTTCTGTCCAGTCAAAACACGCATTCATTTTCCCGTGTCTTCTTGACTCTCAGGGGTGTCTCTTATTCTTATTCTTCTTCTTCCTCTTCCTCTTCGTATTTATTCCTTTCCTAGTAGTAGTAGTAGTATCGTTTTTTTCATTGATTTCGATCTGACATAAGTTGAACGATTTTCCCTTTTCCCGTATCCTCTATCCGCATGAAATCGTTGAACACGGGCTCCAACCGTGACCTTTTTCCCTTTTTGCATTGCTTCAACGATATATCAAAAAAAAAAAATTAAATCGCGTTAAGTAGAACTTTTTTCTCAACAACGGAATAAACGAAGAAATAGAAATAGAAATGGTTGGCATACAATGAATATAACAGAAAACGTGAAAAAGTTTTTTATTTTACAGAATAGACTTCTTTCTGATCTATTTAAAAGAGTTGAGAATTGTCGATTATATTCATGGTCTATCCTTTTATATTTTGTCAATATTTAAATTTATATCTATGGATGTATGCGCTTATGATGACGAATGCATATTATTATTATAATAATACAAACTACTATTACATTAAATTAATTAAAACCTTTTCAACAAATTTTATGGTTTCGAACGTATCTATTTACTATACCGATATAGATATCATTTAAAAATATATTATATAATAAAAAATACATTAACAATTTATTTGTAAGATATTTTATGTGAATTAAACAAAAAAAAAAAACAAAAAGGAAAAGTTTGAACGTAAATCTTGTTCCCATATTGATATGAAATATTTTCAATGTTGCAGAGATGTAAAGAGAAATTGAACACCTTAGCAATCTCGGTAATGAACCAGTGGCCCGGAGTTAAGTTGAGAGTTACCGAGGGCTGGGACGAGGAGGGAAAACATGCAATCGATTCCCTCCATTACGAAGGACGAGCCGTAGACGTGACGACGAGTGATCGGGATCGATCAAAATACGGAATGTTGGCGAGACTTGCAGTCGAAGCTGGTTTCGATTGGGTTTATTACGAATCCAGATCTCATATACACTGTTCCGTTAAGTCTGGTTAGTACTTCTTAATAAAACACACTTTTTTCAAACCCATAAAAACCAATACAATGATAAAGCTACGCGGGTTCTCGAGCGCCATTTTGTTTTTTTCCCTAAAGACAATCGAAGCATTAAACTCTCTTACAAGGAACGATCCAAATTCAAATTTTCTTCGTAAAAGTTTGTTTTCTACTTTTTTAGACAATAATCATTTCGAAAATTGTTTGATATATATATATATATGTTACCGTCATAGCCGGAAATCCGCCATTGCTAGTAATTCCTCGGCATTCTCATCAATGCAAAGAGCCTTCAAACGAAGTCGGAAATAAGACATTTTGGAGAGTTTTTCCTAGGCAGCGAACATAATACTTTGATATCCTATAGAATATCAAATTACTATTTAAACAAAGTTGAAAGAGTATTTCTTGGAAAAGTTTTGGTAAATATTTTTTATACTAAAAGTAAATAGATTTTAATAAAACTTATATTATATTAAAGTACATTCTTTTGTCTACGCGTAGAATACCATATCGAGTTATAAATTTAGCATGTAAACTTCAAAAAATGTCAGAGAATGCAATGCTGTAAATTGTGCATCTTTGCATATTCTATAGAATATTAAAGGATTATGTTCAATATTTAGGAAAAACTGTAAGAATTCTTCTGTTTCCGACTTCATCGGAATGCTCTTTGCATTGATGAGAATGTTGAAGAATTACTAACAATGGCGGATTTTCGGCTATGACGGTAATATATATAATTGATCGCTAGTATATATTTTTGATATATTTATATATAAATTTTTTCAAATATATATTATAGATTATTCGCGAATATATATACATGAAGCGCCGCTACGCGTTAAAACTGAGAAACATTTTCTGTCTTATCGACTTGCTCGGGGATATTGCAGAATTTAATCTAACTAACATAACTTAGAGGCAAAGGATTCTACTTTTATCCTATACCCATTTTTTTACAGTTCTTATCCTTCACGATTAACAATATCTTCTTACACGTTATCTTACGATAATTCAAATGAAATACATTTTTCTCGTAGTACTTTTCCGGTGATAGACGATCTAACGTTGTTTTTTCTTTCCTTCATTTTGTGACCGATCAAAAAGAATGGAAGAAGAAGAAGGATCTTTAAATAAATTATCCATCCTTTAAAAGATTTGAAACCATCGCATCGATTCTCTTTCTTTCTTCTTTTCCTCAGCCGATAATGCTCACGTCCTCCTCCGTGTCACACGTAAAAGTTTCGTATTACGAAATAAATACCGATAAATCGGGTACCATGGCTGGCTGTCCATTCGAATTAAAAGATCGAGCGTAAAAGTAGGCGCGAAATCGATACCAGTCGATGGATCGCGGCCTCGAGGGTCGTTTCAGAACGACAGACGGACAGACAGACGGACAGACAGAAAGGAAGAGAAAGAGAGAGAAAATTAAAGAAGAAAAAAAAAAAGAAAAAATGAAGAAAGGTGGTTGGTTCGAAGCGTGACATATTTTCTGGTCTGGACTCTCTCTCTCTCTCTCTCTCTTTCTCCTCCTGTTCCTCTTCTTATTTTTTGTTTTCTTGTATCTTTTCGTTATGATCGAAGGACGATCGGTACTAAAGAGATCGATATCGATTTACCTTATTAGCACCGTTCGAGGATAGAAAAAAAAAGAATCAAAGGTAATCTTTATTTTGGATCTCTCTTTCTTTCGGTCTTGATTTCAAATTATTTTCATCATCATCGTCATAAGGATTTTCGACAATCCTTATCTTCCATTCTTTCATAATTTTTTTTTTCTTTTTTTTTTTTTTTTCTTCCCTTTTCTTCTTTTTATAGATCCGATTGAGAACGATCGGAATTCGTTAGAAAAGATATCGATTTTCGGTTACGTAGGAGTGGGGAGATTACGAAAGATTTCCCACGGTAGAAACAACCGGTCTACGGATGTTGCTTGTTATACTCGTCCGCGTCACCGACCTTCCTGATCGGTATTCCTGAGTGTGCGATGGATCCGATTACTTTTTCGAAAAATCGATCCTCTGGAGAGAAAGAGAAAGAGAGAGAGAGAGAGAGAGAGAGAGAGAGAGAGAGAAACTTAAAGCCCCGCTTCGAGATCGCGTTTAATCGAGGCAAAAGTCCGCGAAAAAATGTATCAACGTTCGAGAATTATTCATCGAGATTTTGTTTCTATTATATTGTTTTCTTGATAATAGTATTCATATTCGGGATCAAAATGTTGACATTTATTATTTGATCAAAAATATTTTCAATTTAAAAACATATCAATAATAATTTAAACAAATTTCATCTTATTCGTAATTCTTAACGATTTAGATATATAATTCGTATTAGATATAAATAAAATTGTTGTACTTTTTTTTGTTTCACTTTTTTTCTTTTCCAATTTTTTAATTACAGAATCCTCATCGGCCGGCAAATCGGGTGGTTGTTTCCCTGGCAAGAGTTACGTCAGAACTGAAGACGGTTTAAGGAAGAGGTTGGACGAGGTCCAATTAGGCGAACGAGTGGCAGCTATGAATTCTAAGGGTGAATTGATCTACAGCGAGGTTATAGCTTTTTTGGATAGAGCACCGAAGGAAAAACGACAATTCGTTAGACTTTATACGGAATCTGGAAGAGTGTTGACCTTGACCCCAGCCCATTTGGTACCGATCGAGGGCAGATCAACGATATTTGCTGCCAGAGTTAAAATCGGTGATCAAATTTTAATCGTCGATAACAAGAACGATGATGATATTACTACTACTATTAATAATAATAATAATAATAATAATAACATCGAACTAATGGAAAATATTTTAAACAACAAAGTGTCATCGGGTGGTAATCAACGTCGTATTCGTTGGGATCGTGTGATCGAGACTAAATTGGTCCTTGAAATGGGTGTTTTTGCACCACTCACGACGGAAGGAACGCTATTGGTCGACGACGTTATAGCTTCGTGTTATGCAGTAATCGACAGTCAAACATTGGCACATTATTCTTTCTTTCCATTGCGTATGTGGAAAAGTTTAGAATCTTTCTTCGTTGAAAGGCCAACAACATATTCGATTAAAGAAACTAAAACAGAAATCAGACAACTAAGGACTAACAATCAGACTACGAGTATTATTATGGAAGATAATGAAAAATATATAGGAGTACATTGGTACGCCTCCTTCCTTTACAGTTTTGCATCACTTGTTTTACCCAGTGACATGCTTTACAATTAAAATCGTGGGGGTACTGCTGGATGGGGTTACGGGGAAAAAAATTGCCAACATGGTGGATGATAAAAAGGGGGAAAATGTGTTATTAACGTTGCCTTCTCTCTCGATTATCGTTTTAACATTTTCCTTTATTATTTGTGCGTGTATGTTATTATTTCGTGAATGATTTAAATAACTATTATTCTTTTTACAATGAGACACCATTTGTCTTCTCTGACAGTGAGTATTGTGACTGAACACAGTGAACATTTGTATTAGATTCACAAAGTGACTTATGAAATATGAAGACTTTTTTAGAAATGAATGTGTGGAAGAGGATAGGATACTTTTTTAAAAAAATAACAAAAAAAAAAAACAACCGAAATCTTATTTAACATTTTACGTTTTGGTATATGTTATGTATCATACGAGTATATAATATAAATATCGTTACGTAGCGCTATTACTTTAAATACGAATATATAAAAATGTGTATGCGTGAGATACACATGAGCGTATATATATATATATATATATAATGAGTGCGAATGAATGATTTAATTAATTGATCGAATGCATCCTATGTATTTGTATAACTTGTACGAATGTGTACCTATTTTGTAAAACAGAAAAAGAAGAAGAAGAAGATATAAGATCTTGATAATGATGACGAATGAAGTTTAATCACGAAGATTGAGTATTTTATTATATTTCTTTTCTTCATTTTCGTTAAGAAGAATTTGTATTTCTTTTCATTCGAGAAATTTATTCGTTTGTTTCCCCCCCCAATGACCTTATTATCCACGTGTATGTGTGATTACGAAGAAGAAAAAAAATCAGGCAAGGTATCTGGTGGGAGAAATAGAAAAAAAAATTCTGGAACAACGAGTACATTGTTGTACATATACAACATACACATCATACGTACGTGAAATAGGTACATGCGTATGTATTTACGAAAGGAAACGTGCTAACGCATATTACGGTGTTGTAATGCACGTTCTGTTACACTGGTGCTTCGTTAAAAACGGAAACGCGAATAATACGCGGAAGCTTTATTAAAATAAACATTTCTTTTCTTATTTTTTCCCATGAACGCGTTATTGATCCGTCATCGGACTTTTTCTTTTCGTCTTGTATAGTAATCGATCGCCATTCATATGAATGATTGGAAAAAGATCGAAGTAAAACAATTATTATTATTATTTTTTTTTTCTTTTTTGTTTACTAGTTTCAATATCGGCCTGTCTATATTTTTATATACATATATATATATATATATATATATTAGGGGTTGTAGCTATTAATTCCGGGGGGTGCCTTTTTGAATAAATTTAATATTTATTTATAAAGTATAAATCTCTCTCACGTTCAGTCTTAGCATTATTTTTCAATCAACTACCCTCGGTCATTCTTTCAATGTAACTCGAATTTCTTGACGAGAAAAAAAGAATAGAAGAAAAAAATAGCAATTTTGATGTAATAAATTGAATATCAAGGCGCAGAATTTAATCAGCACACACCTAATGGTGTTACCGTTAAAACGGGAACTCTTGTTAATTCATAAAATAACTATACTTGTTAGTTAAAGTATTAAAGAACACAGAATTACATACTTTAATTACGTAATATAAGAATTAACGAGAGACGAGTAATTAAAGTAAGTAATTGAAGTTTTTGATTCGTAGATTAAATCCGATAGAACAGAACATTCGTTTTCAAAATAGGTGGAAAAGAATAAGAACGAATAACTATGAGCATTGTTGTAGAAATAAAAGCAAACTTTAAAGATGCATCAAATTTTTCAATTACATACTTTAATTACTCGACTTTAATGAATTCATTTATTACATAATTATATCATAAAACAATTATAGTTAAAGTGTATAATAATATTACTTTTATATGCTTTCTTCTCAAAACATCTTATTTATTTCACGTATTATCTTGATATTTTATGAATAAACTGAATTATACACTTTAACGGTAACATATATATATTTATATATACATATCGATGAACCTTTTTTAAATTATCTAAATAAACAAAAATATAAATATATATATTAATTTTATTATTAATATTATTATTATATATTATTTCCAATAAATATTTTCCAATTGTATTATTATTATTATTATTATTATTATTATTATTACAATTAATATTATTATTATATTAAGTAATATTATTTGTGTAAGTAGTTAAAGGGAGATAAATTATAAACGATGTATATATAACACAATACACGCAATCGATAATAAGTTGATTTACACCCAGCCAAAAGAAACTTCACAATTTTGTTTGATTTATTTATTCGATTAATCCAACCATCCGAAAATAGTTTATTATCAAATCCCCTCGATCCTTTCAAACTTCAATATTTACTTTTATTTTCTAACCAAAGTAATCTTTTTTAGAGAGATTTACGTTAAGTCTTAAAAAAGTAAAATAATTTTCTATCGAGAAAGAGAGAGAGAGATTTCTCCGGATTCTTGTGCAAATTGAATTAGGATCGTTTTACGGGGTAATCGACAAAAATGGCCGAAGAGGATGCTCGTCGAATTGGAACGGAACAAGATTACCAATTGGTAAATACATATATATATAATTAATTATACTGATCAATTTTTTTTAATTTGACATTTTGAAAGAATTTCGTTGAATTATAATCTCTGCGATATAAAACATACAGAAAGTATTAATAATATTTCCACTGTCGGAAAATGAAAAGCGTAACGTAAGGGCACGTACCTTTTAAACATCAACGAAACAACATTTCATATCAACCTGAGAAACAATTTTTCCATCATTTTTTAACACTTTTCTTTTCTCCTTTCATTTTTATTATCAACGCTTTACCTATATGAAATGTTTCATTAATATAAAAATATTCGAGAGGGGTGAGAAAACGTGGAAGAAAAATGAAGTACTCCGTATAAACGTGCGGAGAAATTTTTATTTAGAAATTTTCCTTTTTGCCTTTTTCTTTGATAAATAATATTTAAAAAAAGAAAAAAACAAATATATTAAAATCTGTGCGTTTGATTGAAAATATCGATCAATATCATACTTGAAAAAATGTTAATATCGAGAAATGAAATTTTGTGAAAAGAAATTTAAAAAAGAAAAGATTGAATAAAGATAATCGAAATAATTTATTTATTGTAATACAGCGAGGTAACGTGACCCTTCCCCAGCTTCAAGAAACGGAACAAGATTTTTTTGAATTGGTAGCAAACGGAAGTGTTGCTGAAGTCGAGCTTTATCTGAACGTTCATCCGGATTTTAAAATTAACGTTACCAACTATCAAGTAACTTTTATCTCTCTCTCTCTTTCTCTTTATATTATTCTTCTATTTTCCTTCTCTTTTATTTTCTTTAAATATAGATAAAAACATAATATTAAGCCTGGATAGATAATGTTCTTTGTTTTATTTATTTTTTTCAAAGCTTTCAAGAAAGTTTTTATCTACATTTATCTTTAGAAACATCGTTGGTCGGCAAACTCATTTCAAGTAAAGCAAGGTAGTAGCCACTAGAACGAAAAGAAAAAGAGAGAGAGAGAGAGAGAATAAAAGGAGAAGAATAAAAAAAAAAAACAAAAAAAAGAAAACATTTCAAGATATCAGTCGAAGGGTCGAGAGACATCGGTTTCCCTTTGAGTAACAACCCCTTCCTTCTTCTTCCTTCCTTCCTTTCCATTCTTTCTTTCTTTCTTTCTTTCTTTCTTACCCTTTTCTCTTTCTCCAAAGTTTTACCTCGATCATTTCCATGAGTGATTTACGCGAGATCCCTACGAGACACGTCGAATTATCGTAGACGAGAACGATCTCTTTTCTCTCTCTCTCTCTCTCACTCTCACTTTCCATCTTTGTCTTCGTCTATCTCATTTCTATCTTATTCTTTGCGAAGAGAAATCGATGAAACAGACCGAGAATGCAAAGCACAGTGGACTTTCTCTCTCTCTACTCGTTATCTCAAATCTTCACCCTCTCTTTATATACCCCATGTGGAATGTCTTTTCCCCCACCACTAAACCCAACTCTCTCTCTCTTTTTTTTTTCTCTCTTTTTCATCCCGTTCGCAACGTTTTCAAAAAGCCTACCGGCCCCGTTCGAGTTTCGGTCAAAATACCACCGGTACCATTTGACTCTATTGAAAAGAAAGAGATAGAAATATATCTACATATATATATAGAAAAAAAAGGAGAGAGATAGGAAGATGTGAACAATGTGTGTGAGAATAAGAGAGAAAGAGAGAGATACTGACTGCCTCCGTATATATCTTCGGCCATATTTCAGACGGTCCTTTTACAAGACAATGGTTTCAACCGAGGGGACCGATAAAAATTATTCAAATGACCCGCCCCACTGTAAATTCCATCAATCGATACCCACCCCCCTCCAACCCTCCCTCCTTACTCCACCTTATCCTACTCCTTCTTCTCCTCTACTATGAACTTTTTCTTTCTTTTTCTTCTTCTTCTTCTTCTCTTCTTCATCATCTGCTTCATTTTCTTCATCTTCTTCCTCATCTTACGTTCGCTCTCGTTTTAGAATTGGGGGATGGGTGGAAGGGAGCAAGGGGCCCTATGCCAATCCACTGACGAGCCATTAAATTTGTCCCATCATTTTCTCGAGGAAAATTTTTCCTCGAACGATGGGAAAAGAAAGGGAATAACCATACCGGGCGCGCGTAACTTTTATCTTTTCTATCCGTATCCGTTAAAAAATAATGAGATAATATACGGTTGATTTTATCAACGATTTTATCAATCGTTTCTTTTCTTTTTTTTTTGATTAATTATTCGTGACGTTTTTGATCGTATGGAAATTGGTATTATGATTGAATTATAATATGATATTAATTAAAATATTCTCTCTCTCTCTCTCTCTCTCTCTAGAATAAGTATGAATACAATATATATATCATATGATTGCTTGGAATATATCTGAATTATTAATGTATATGAATAAATTCATATATTCGGTTTTTCATCGAGGTATTTGATATGTGTTGG